CCACCTTTGAATCAAGCTGCACCAAAACCCAGGCTCCTACTTTAGGTAGTTACCAAGCATCCTTTTAAAGACCCCTAACGGGTCATATGAGCTTAACATAGTGGGGGTCATATGACCCCAGTATTCATTCCTGCCCAGGGCAGGGGGTTGGACTAGATGATCTGCTCAGGTCCCCTCTGATCCTACATCTATGAATTGGTCAGTGCGTTTGGAATCCAGTTGCCAGCGTGAACTGGGGGTGGAGTTAGTTGTGTGGGCACATGCCATAACACCGCACATCAGAAGTTTGTGTTCAGAAAGGCTAGTCATGGATTTTCGCAGGCTTTTAAAAAATATTTCTTCTACGAGCCTGCGCTTGTCTGTGCTGCAGTACTGATTGTGTAGGTTTGTAGCAAACATGCTGCTGTGGTTAGCTGTCAGGCTTTGATCCCATATTAAGGGCTGGGAGGAGAGCCTGGGGGCCTGAGGCTCCTGAGTGCTTTATGATGGGGTGAAGGCCATGGTCCTCTGCTGAAGGGCCTGGGATAGGTAGGTTTCAATGAGGCTGGTAGGAGAGAGTGCTCCAGTTGTGGGCATATTGGATAAGGGCATGATTCACTTTAGTGCATAACCCTCCCCAATTATGGTTTGTTGCATTTATTGTAACAAACTGTCAATACCTGCATCAGCAACTTAAGAAGTTGTACTCTGGTTAGCTGCATAGCCACTGTACTTGCTGGCATGCTAACACCTCCCTTTTCCTCTTGCACACAAATGACCTGCTCCTTTCCTTTTCAAGGGTTTGAAGCCCTGAAACTATTAGAACCCTTGAGCAGCTCCCTTTTCACTCTGGGGGCTGCTAATACCACTGCTCTTAGCATGCTGTGAACTTACTGAGCACTGAGTTTGTATAAGAACATAGTCTTTTTTCAGTCCACTTAAATGGAGTGACTGTGGCCTAAAGGCATGACAGCCTTATGGTAACCACCATTCTGTAAGGGTGAGCAAATGAGAGAAGATTGGTGTCTCCACCATCCCCCCCATAATATTTTAAAATCCTTCTCTTCCTTCCCAGTTAACCCATTAGCATCCCAAAACCCATTAAGCACATTAGAACCTGTTTCTTGCTGCCTGGTGCCCTCTGCTGCTTTGTACATATAATCATAAGCAACTGCTACCAAAGGGTGTCACTGTCCCTTGTTGTACAGCCCAGCCTTTGTATTAGACTGCCATCTGCCTTCTTGTGATGCTTACTTGGGTCAGGCTCCCTGTTCCACTTTGGCCAAGACTCTTTGTCCATCTTGCCTGCACTGCAGGCCCTGGTGATCTACACTTTACTTTTGTATTCTTTGGCTCTCAGATGCCACTCTCAGGGGGCCTTCTTAAATCCTATTGTGCAGGTTTGAGGCTGTTGGGAAAGTGTGAGAAGCAGGGTCTCTGCAGTCCTTGGTACAGGCATGAGAAGAAAGAATGTGGGATTTGTAGTTGTCTGCCCCCTCCCTGCCCCCACCTCCTATTACCACCTGCTGTCCCATCCACCCATTCTCCTCCCAGCCCTTAATATGGGATCAGAGCCTGACAGATTCTGTGAAGAGTCATGTGAACGTGTTGCCTGTGTAGAAGGGGACTGGCTTGGTGACCTGCGATAGTATCCTGACCCCCACCTGTCTCCATTTTGTTAGCTGTCTTCCAACAGGCATCTGCACATGGGACTTGTTTTCATTTTAAAAACAGTTTGAGGAGGGGACTGGATTTGTTATCCCTTCCAACTGTTTTTTCTAAGGTTCTACAAACATCTTACTGTAGTTGGATGGTATGTTCCCCATATTAAATCACCCTTGGACAGAAACAGATCATAGCAGAGCACCTACATTTTTGCTTTGCAATTTCTGCTGGCAAAGGGTTCCACCTTTGCAGTGCCTTGTTTTTGGTTGGGATGGTGGCTACAGCATGCCCACTTCACCCACATCATGAGAAAATGAGCTGGCAATTCTTGGGGTTGAGCTTATGACTGTCAAACGACACTGAATTTTGTTTTCCCCGGGAGAGCTGCACATACCATTTATTAGCAGGGTAAACCACAAGTGTTTGGGCATCAGTGGGTCTTTGTTACAAGGATAGTTTGATTCCCTTAGGGTGGGAGTTGTATAAACTGATGGTAGGTTGTTCATCTTAAACTGATTTGAGAGTGAGGGAGAGGGGGGTTGGCAGAGGGAATGTTGACAATCCCTGACTCAAATGGTACCACGTTTGTTCTGACACTAATTTGAATTGCCCATAAGAGCACTGGGGTTCAAGGCAATGTGGGCATGCATGTGGATTTTAAAGGACTTGGAAATGTGCTTTCACAGCTTGTGCTGGTGTCAAGCATGCCCAGACTCAGTATTGTGCATTAGCTGAATTTCTGCAGTGTGCCTGTGCTCAGCTTTCCATGGAGAGGGAGGAGGACATCCTCAGCTGTTGACTCACTTGGGAATTATGGGGAGAGGTTTGGATACTCCAGAATGGGGAGGCTTTGCAGCTCCTGCCTCCCATGCAGGAAGTGAAAGGTGTGTAGGTCCCTGGCTTGCTTATGTAGGGAGAGAATCTGGAAGTGATAGGCACCCCCTGCCTTTTATCCCTACCTCTGGTTTGACATTATTTTCCCTTTCTCTCCATGCATTCCCATTTTATCTCCTCCCCCTTATAATTTCCCTGCCCTTGCCACAGTCTCAGAACACTCTGCTGGATTAATTATTGCTCCAAAATATGAGACCAATTCCAGAAATGGGCCACAAGCACACCTCTAGTCATAGCTTCCCAGTTCTTGTGGCATTACAAAGGTGGCTTGAAGCCACTGTATTACACTGATGTGGGAGAGTGGGGAGGGAAGTAAATCTAGTTCCTTCTTGCTGACTAAGCAATGTGATTATTAACGCTTGTAAACATCTGTTTAATTAAAAAACCTGTTTGCTTTAGCTGATGCAGGAAACTGTCAAGTGTAAAGTCTTGAGGGGGGGTTTAATTCTGAGACTGGTATCTTACTGGTATGTGGCACGTTCTGAAATGTAAGGTTTTATTTTGGTCATCTTTAGGTATCTTCTCTGTGTTTGTTTCTAACATTGTTGACTTTGTGATTAATAGCAGGTCTTTAACAGTTAATTAATTTTATTTTCTTTTACTAGGTCGTTTTTCATAAAATGTCTCCTAATGAGACTTTGTTTCTGGAGAGCACCAACAAGATTTACAAAGATGATATTTCCAATAGCTCCTTCGTGAATTTCCAGATATGGGACTTTCCAGGACAGATGGACTTTTTTGACCCAACATTTGATTACGAGATGATCTTCAGAGGCACAGGGGCACTGATATATGTTATTGACGCTCAGGTAGATATGACTAGCAAAGAACATGAAGTTTTACCTTGCTGTTGGAGGTGTGGGTAGTGAGTGGTGGGGAAGGAAGGGGAGGGACTGATGGCAGGTTTACATTTATTGTAAAATAGATTTATAAAATATTTGCACTTTGTTTAACCTGCATTTACTTAAATTATACTGGCCCATTAAAGATTGCCACTTGGACAGAATAGGAATTGTCATGACAGATGGTCTCTGTAACCAAACATCCTCTGTCTGATGGTGATCTGTATCAGATACTTCAGAAGGAGGTCCAGGAATTTGTGGATAAGTAATGAATAATTTCTATTAAAGTTTATTTCCCCTGTTTTCTTACTGTTTGGCTATTATGTGCCAACAAGGGGCGATTCGTATATAAAAACAAACAAAACTTTTGTTTTGTCTATGTAACTCTAAAATCACATCCTCTTTAGAAGGTAACAGAGAACAAGATTCAAAACTTTCAGCCTATTTTTTTTTTTTTTTTTTTTTTTTTT